GGTGTATGTCAACTGTAAGGTAATATGATCCTAAAGAATCATGAATGCTGATGGTTATTTCCATTATTTCTCTCACTTACTTATTCTTATCCTGAGAATACTTCTTTTGGAGATCCCTTCTGTGAAAAATAAACTACTACTGTTTATCAATCAGCCTTATATGGCTGAGTCCTACTCAAAACCAGGGCATAAGTATACACTGATCTGTCAGTGAAAAGACTCATAATGAATGCAAGGCAATGTTGTTATTCTAATGAGACATAGTGTCTCCATTTGCAGTGTACAGCATTACTTTGACTCTGCTTCACAAAGTCTAAAATGTTTTAACGTAAAAATAAAAGTACTTTATTTCTGGAATACACAAATTAATGGTTACACCTATTTTACACCTCCCCATATGGATCATCAGTGTAACACATTTGCCCAACAAAATGATCAAAACACTGCAGAGCTGCCTCAAATTGAATTGTGAGCCACAAAGAATAATCTGAAATAAATCTAAAGAAACTCAGATCATAATGACCAGAACCTCCTAAATTCACTCTAAACTAAAAGTCAAAATTTGTATGTGCCTGTCTGTATTCTTACCCTGAGTAATTAAGCCAATCTCTCTTTGTTTTCAGTCTAGGACAAGTGATACTGTTCTGTTTGTGTGCATGAGACAAAAGACAGATTTATACTATAATGGATTGTAAATGCATGTGACTGAGCTCTTATTCTTGTAATGTCAAGAAAATCATGGTCTGATGTCAATGTTAAGCTGCAGGTACTGAAAACACCTGGTGACAGGGGCAGCAGTGAGTGTGCGCATGTGTGTTTGTGCATTGATTAATACATATGTGTGCATGTGAGCAGAGGACAGGCAATGAGCAGAGAGACCTGTTCAAAAAGAAGAAGACAGACAGGTTGGAGTGATAATAATAAAAGCAAAGCAAGTGTGTTCCCACCCAGGAAATTTGAAGAAAGAACCATAGCTGTTAGTGCACATTCCCAGATGATACCAGAGGAAATGTATATTTAGAAGCCAGTGCAAATCCTAAAAATGGGCTGGGGAAAATCCCTACCAATGAAGACTGAATATACCATTACAAACCCTGTTCTAGAGACAGATTATACACATACCTACAGAGTGCCCACTGAACAGAGGGGAGGGAGTTTTTCTGTAAGTTTTCACTGTTGGAATATGATTTGTAGATTCATAATGAGGTCATGAGAGTGAAGATTTTATTAGGCAGCTTTGTTTATGTGAGATATGATATCCCAAAGAGTACCTGAGGAGGGAGGGAAGGTAAGTGCTGCTGTATGTCTGATAAGGGACATGCTAATCAATACTGTCACTGGGTTCAATGCTTGGAAGAGTTAGGCAGATGATTTCTATTTTATTTAGAAGTAGTTCTTGGACACTTCAGGCAGTAACCTGTATTGGGCTTAACATGCTGTACTCACACACAAAATTATTAACAGACTGCAGGAATTATGTAAAAAGAAGTTATCTGCTTGGTTTAGCTTTGTATGTTTCCTACCGTGGGAAAAAGCTAGAGAAGGTTGCTGGGTTTTGTTGGTTTTTTTGTTGGTTTTTTTTTTTTGTTTTTTTGTTTTTTTTTTTGTTTTTTTTATGATTGTAAGAAGAGAGTGTTACTATACTGTGTGCCAGCTTCAAATAATAAGACATACACACCCAGATGGAAGGGAGAAAGTAGGTTAGAAGCCTCATTACTTGCCACGCAAGCTGCAAACACACATACATATTGATATAACCATACTTGTTCCCTCCTCTCCCAAATACCACAAACTGCTAAAACCTCAATGGTCCATAACGGGTTGGTTATGTCTCCCAGCTTCTCTCTCCCATGCTCAATCACTAACATAATCAGTCTGATGTCTCTGTACATGACTCAGATACCCATCTGCAGGTCTCTGCTTGCACTCCTGTGATGCCTTTCCACATGCAGGTTCTGCATAGGCAAGAGAACCTTTCACAGTAACTATTGCCAGTTACTAACATGTTTCATTTTTATACGTCAGTGAGAACACTCTAGTTATTGGGTGCTAATGTACAAATATAAAAACTGAACTGAAAAAACACTTGCTGGCAATTCAAGGCATAGATTTAGACAGTGATTTTTACCAGCTCTGTAGAATTCAGAACATGACTACACTTTCTGATCTTATAATTCTTATTTAAATAATAACTTCCTGATGCAGATGTGTCTCTATCACATTGCAAGTTTCTTAGCAGTGGTGTAGTTTCTCCACCTGTGTTTCTACAGTAGTTGGTAAAATAAGGACACACACTCTGATTAGTGTCCGTGAGCACTCAGGAATGCAAAAATATTTATCACTGAAATTTAACATACTTGTAAAGATGACAGAAATTAGACTTTTTCAAGTCATAAGAGTATGGAAAAAAAAGAAAGGTGTGGATGAGGTATGCTATCCTTTAGCATTACATTTTAGGGGAATCTATAAAATGACAGTAAAAAGCAACTAGTGCTTCCCTCAATCTCCCCAGAAATTGTAATGCAGCAGTAAAATGGCTTATGTCAGTAATAAAAATAAAATGCCTATGACATTTTAAATGTTATCGTACTGTCACAGCAGAATAAAATTAGCTTGAAGAATGATCTAAAGGGATATGATGCAGTTCATTATGTATAACAGCAACAGCAGCAGTTTCTCAGTGTTCATAAAGGTTTCTCCATTAAATTTACCTCCAGTCAATAATTAGGAGTCCACAAATAAACCTAGGCAATTAAATCAATATTGCTGGGCAATTATGTTCAAAAGTCCTGGCTCAATGGCACAAAAAGACACTATATCAAACTGCAATATTAAGTGATCTGATGCAATTTTCCACTGAACATTTTCTCAGAATAACAGGAAAGGGCAAGACTGCATCTTTGTTAAAGATGCAAATGGGTACACAGTTTGCCAACCTGTAACACTATATGAGACATCTGTTACGAGTGAAGTCTTGATGGAAAGCTTTCACTTCACCACGAACTTTAGTTTTCTGATCATAAATAGAATGCCTACTAAAGGAAACCACAATCAATCTCTACAAGATAGGAATTAACCATTTCAAAGGCTATAGAGTTCTGTGAGCTGCTCCCGAATAGAGACCAAGAAATCTTATCAATTTCCATCCATGTGACTTAGTGTGGACAGAAATGAAAAGCAGAGCTGGCTGCTCCCAAAAACCACTAATCCCTTCGCAATTCTAAAGATGGTCAGCTTCCCAAGAATTACTTTTAGCCTCAGAGCTCCTCCTGAGGAATCCCACATGATGGAGCAAAAATCACTGAAAGCCACTATTAACTTGCACACAAACTTACATGTCTAAAAGCAAAAAGCTCCTCAATCCTTAACTAATATTTATAATCCTAATATAGCTGGTTACATAGTCATCAACCTCTCTGTTTCTCCGTGCCTTCCATTTTCCTGTCTGCCTATATCAAAGAGAAGTAATAAAATTCTGCTTAGGACTTTTTAACAATTTACCGAAGAATGCTAAAAAAAAAAAAAAAAGAATAAAAATTCTTGCTAGTATTCCATGAATCTGATTGCTATTTTGGAGTCCACAGAATCGACAGAATCTTGAAATCTATAAATTTTTTAAAAAAGTCTTAAATTTAGGCAATTTAGTGAATAGAAATATTTGTGCTTTTACTGCTGAGTTCCATGTAACATTACCAGACTAAATTAAAATGCCAGTATTTTTGACAAAGCCAGTAAAAGCAAACTGATATTTCCATCTCCTCACTGCAGCAATTAAGGAATCTTAATGGTAATAAGTTTGGATAATGAAAGAGGAAAACCCTGTAATTTCTTAAAAATCTAGTCATAGGACACAATCTAGACATGAAAGCTATTAATGACAAAATAGATATATCTGAATCTGAGTGTTCCCTTGAAATGGCTTTCAAAATATTTTCAGTCATTCACATTCTTAACTGAAATGAACTACACCGCTAATGGACCCATGCTAGTGAATATGCATTAGGAACACTGGATTCATAAATCAAATTTTATTTCTTTTCAAACACCAGCTACCGATCATCTGAATAAAGGAGACAACTAAAATATAATGGAAAAATTTCAAGAGTCAGTGTGTGTTGTAAGTGATGTCCAAACAAAAGCTGACTATGGCTAGAAAAGCAGGGCTCTCCCCTGCCAATAAACTGCCCTTGATCACTTACAAGAGGGGAGCATCCCAGCAGACTCTCTGTGTATTAAAAAAAAGACTTGAAAGAGAAGAAGAAGTATCACACAGGTCACAGCAGCAGTCTCAATGGACCCCTCAGGGATTTCTGCTAGTCTCAGCCTTGTCATCCTCTATGCAGCTTTCCTCTCTGCCCAGAAAATGTCGATAGGAAAATGTTTGAGGGGCCTCTGGTGGAAATTTTTTCATTCTTTCTGCATTGACAGGATGCCAAATCAATATTTACTTCCCACTAACAAGCTGCTCGAGGTCTCAGTAGAAAATATTGTAGAGAATGCGAGAAGACACGATAATAAACAGCTGTCTGGCTATGAGGAAAACATGAATTGACTGGAAACAGGTCCACAGTAAAAGGTCACTGATACCCATGAACTCCTCAGGTGTCCATATCAACTGCTAACTTTAAAGGCACATAATAAAAAAATCTCTTTTTCCTAAGAGGTATGAGAATGGATCCTTCTCAGTCTAGCAAGCATTATACACTGTTTCAATAATTCAATTAACACATTTGCCAAGATGTATGCTGGTTTTCTCCAGCATTGTTTCATTGGTTTCAGCTGCTAAGACAGCTATTACAAATCCTTGGTAAACATTTCTTCAGTTTTATCCAGTGACATTTATTTTAAGAGAAATGAAAACGAAATGCTACAATCCAAGGATTTTACATTGTCTCATTACAGTATAGTTTGGGACCATCAATGGTAACATAATTACAAATGCAACAGATTAATTACAACCTAAACCCACTTAGCTACTCAGCGTAGAATGATATAATTCATTAAGGAAAGGTATAAATTAGCACCTGTGCTTCAAGAAGGTTATGTATATACTGCAGCCATTCTTTATCGTTTTCAAATTCCATTTTTGTTTTTGCTGTTTCCTAAAAATAGAAAAAGATAACATAGACACAACATTTTGACACCATATGAGAAGAATATAGTGAAAAATAAAGGAAATGTGTAACTGGATATATATTAAATAAACAGTATGTGGAAGCGGACACTATGCTTTCAAAACTAGTTATTGAAGCATACCCACCAAGTATGAGGGCTCTGTTAAATCTATAAACCTATCCTTGTTTGTGCATGTCCCTAAAAACACGCATGATGTTCTGTTCTTTTCACATGTGCATTAGGTGCATATGTGATCTATGTGTAAATTTTGCAAGTTCATGTAAAGGTTCCCGAGTAGAATATGTATATGAAATTTGTATAGTGTAAATTTATCACCTGTAGTTAAAATTTGTTTTCTATTTATAGGTAAGTATGTTTGTGTGTTCTAGACATATATTCACAATAGTGACTACAACACTATACACTATACACACTAGTCACAACAGTGACTAGTCTACAAAAGGTACACGATATAGAAATTATTTCGAGAACAAGGTATGCATGGAAAAAATCTATCAAAGTGAATCACTTTACAGGGGTGTATAAATGTTATGGATTTATAAAAAGGGTGAGGATTGGTAATTTTATTTGTATTCATGCATATAATCCGTATCAGTGCATGCACATGCACTGCACCTTTATTTAACCAACATGAAAACTCTCTTTTGTGACATCTTTAATATACAACTCCAATAAGGCTAAACCTGAGTCATTACCAGGGTACTGTTACAGCCCAACAATGGTTAGCTCCTAGACACTCTTACTAAAATAAGTGTCCAGGCTTTTTCATGTTTTATTTGATCAGGCCTAAATAAATCTAGGTAAGAAATGCTATTCCTGTATCTGTTTAACAGAGGGTGGTTTGATGATACACTATCAAGTATTTCATAGTGAAGTGTATGATAGAATCAACAAAAAAAGGCAACGGATTCCCCCAGAAACCAACTGTCTACTAGAAATATATACCTTTATATATATCTTTAATATAATATATACCTTTAATAGGTATAACAGTTCAAGAAAGGAAGCATCAAAGTAATCAATCTGGCACAGCAAGACACATTCTAATTTTGTTTTCATTAATGCAGAAGTCCTCATAGCAGCCTTTCAGTATCTGAAGGGGGCCTATAAGGATGATGGGGAGGGACTCTTCGTTAGGGACCGTAGTGGTAGGACAAGGGGTAATGGCTTCAAACTTAAACAGGGGAAGTTTAGATTAGATATAAGGAAGAAGTTCTTCACAGTGAGGGTGGTGAGGCACTGGAACAGGTTGCCCAAGGAAGTTGTGAATGCTCCATCCCTGTCAGTGTTCAAGGCCAGGCTGGACAGAGCCTTGGGCGACATGGTTTAGTGTGTGGTGTCCCTGCTCATGGCAGGGGAGTTGGAACTAGATGATCTTAAGGTCCCTTCCAACCCTAACTATTCTATGACTCTATGATTCTATTTAAAATGTATAACTCTGTCAAATAGTCTCACGAAAAAGGAAACTACTAAGGACTTTCAAATAATGTCTCTACATCTACATGCTCGAAACCCTATATTTATATTTTATTATGCACGCCCAAAGTCTCGCCACTTTATGAGTCTTTAACCTGCCCTCTTTATTTAGATCCAGTTGTTCTGTTTTGTTTGTTTGTTTGTTTTTTCCCCACGCTGAATGCTGTAGAATGAAATTCTAGTCTGTAAGTGGAAATCCTTTTCCTCAAGAATTGAAATATGCAGCATCTTCTGATCTAGCCCCTTTTCAATGAAAAGTCCTTAAAGTAACTTACCTCATCATCTTCTACTTCCAGTATCTCCTCAAGATCAGTTGTTGAAACATTAAGAATAGCTGCTGCCAACTGAACAGATTCCTGGGAAAGACCCTTTTTGCACACTCTCACTTCTCCCATTTTTTTTGCCTGTTTGATTTTTGTTCTCAGCTCTTGTACGCTGTGCTGTAGCTCTCCGGTTAGAGCCTAGAAGATGCAAGCAAAAAATACTCTGTTGCAATTTTCCTTAAAGTGCAAACACTATGGAAAAACCAGCAGCATTTAGACTAAGCTCCTTTAGATGGGAGTTATCTTCATTCTGTATTATTGGTTTAATAGGATACATGTCGTAAGAACATGGTATTTAGAACACAGAATGTGAATACATTAAAATAGAAAATGTTCTTAAATATAGGTAAATTTGGTTTTATTTCTTTAGCAAAAAAACCCTATATTCGTCGTTCCTTCAGTAGTAAGACAAAGCACTTTCTGTGGAATCAATCAAAAATCCTTTCTTGACCCATCTACCAGAAATGTTCTTGTAATAACAACAGTTCCCACAACAGAGTAATTAAAAACTATCCTAGCTACCAGTTCTTCCTGATATAATTTTTACAACTTAGATCATCACAGTAGTGGCTATTCACTGTTGATAAGCAGCATACCCTTGGAGCACACAAGTCCACTGTATCATTATTCAAGGCTTGCAGAGGAAGGGTTGTATTCCCACAGAATATTCTCTGTGCAGTGGGCCCACACAGAAAGCCTAGCCAGGACAGGCAATCTGTTTGCAAGAGTCCTCTTAGCAGATAGTTGTTGGCTGAGAGAAAAAAAGCTGTAAGTCACTGTCAGTAGATCCTCCCAGCATATTCAACTTCAATGACTCAAGCAGAACAGTGATTGTCAACACAGACACCTTGGCTTAGTTTAAAATGAGAGAATAAGGTTGTATTTTGATCATCATTTGTGGGGCTTATCTTATTAAACTATCTCTCACCAGCAGCTGATTAACTCCTGAAAATTCTTTTTTGCAAAATGCCTTCATCTCATAGAAACTGACTGCAGAATTATGAATCCCGTTTATTGGCATTTGGAGTAAAGCATTCTACAGCCCCTTGTGTATTCAAAATGCAGTCATTAGAGAGCATTTGCTGATAGATTTCAAAGAAAGCACAAGAGATTAATCCAGTTCCAAGATCTGCTTATTTTTCTGCCACATTCCAGCATACCATTTTTCTGTATTTAGCTAAAATGTAATTATTAAAACCAAAATTACCCTACCACAAATTTGGGGAGAGGAAGTACAATGAAATTTGTCCAATTTTGTGATTCAAATGTGGGTACCTCCATCCACAGTATTTCCAACAAAGTATCTTGTAAGTAGGTCTGTCTGCAAGTACAGAGCTGAGAGGAATGAATAAACTTGAAATGTTATAGGCGGGGAGCTAGGACAACTTGGACCAAGCTCACGGAAACAGACTGTGGAGAGAGCCCCAGCAGAAAAGCGCAGACTATGAAAAAAAAAAATCACATTTTCGCAGCATCTGAAACATTCCGACAGTACATTTGCTCCTGCAACACCTAGATGATGTATTTGGCAGTGTAAAAATAAGTTCAACTGTACTTTTTCTATCAAATTGAACGAGCTTCCCAAATTTTACAAGTAAGGAGATCTCACCCAGCCATACGTGATTAGGCTAAAAGATGCACATTTGTATTCTCGTGCAAAGAGGAAATGTAAATTAAAGGAGTAAAATATCAAGGAAATTAACTGCAAAGCTATATGGAAAGACTAAGAATAATGATAAATAGCTGAGCACAGACAAACAAAAAGCATGATAATAAACAAAGTTAAATGTTCACTTGAATGTCTCAGACAACATACAAGCATCGCCAGAAAATAGTCTTATTATATTATTAGATAAATTTTATTGGTGTATCCAAACTCCAAAAATAATACATGAGAAGTAAGCAAGCTGATAGCAATAGCAACAGTGGAACCCACAAACTGCAACTCCACTGTAGTATTTTAGGCTTGTCTTTTAGTTCAGAGTTCCAGAAAGGAAGGTACCAGAAAGACCCTGAAGAATCTATAGCAGCAGTAAAAAAAAAAAAGACAACAAAACATGAAAAGTGAAAAAAGAAAATTAAAAGCAAGTTTAAATAAAAACCAAGGAAGGAGAAAATGACAACTAGCATGTTTTGATATGCAAGCCTACACGCTATATATTATCATAGTAGATCATACAGATCACATATATAGAGGACTTGCACCTCAATTCCTTTTTTCCCTGAGCAGTTCTAATACACTAAAGCATACGTAACATAAACACCATATGTATATGGACTTTGAAATCGGGCTCAGAGACCAGCTATTTTTGAAGTGGTCTTCTTCACATTATTAAGTTGTAGCAATTTTTTTATATACATTTTTCACTGGATAAGTGCCTTAAAAATTATAGCCTCCCCACAATTTTAAGTTGCTTTTTCTGTTGTTATATCATCATTTGTCATATACTAATGTATTCGTGTGCTACTTCTTTTACTTATTAGTGATTTAATTTACATATCAGTTCATCCATAACTATAGATATATTCAATGTCAAAACCACAAGGTCTTTAACTGAGTTAGACAGAACCATTTCCACAGTGAAAATGACATAATCCTAGGAGTTAACCAGCAAAGGTTTTGTTGGTGAGGGTACTGAAGCCAGTATTGTATCATTATTTGATTAAGAAATTGATCCAATACATTCCGGATTTAAGCGTAGGATTTTACACTGAACCACTTCCCACTAAGTATTTCAGAATCACTTGTTTTTAAACTTATATATGTATACTTAGGGATACAAACTGACTGCAATGAAATCAATGCAGAATACGACTTCAGTATGATATCAATGTATGATAACAATGCCTTTATTAGCACTAGTAATACTAGGATTTGATCTGTTATCTTTGTTTTTCTTTGGTGTCAAATCTAGGGAATATTTTGTTAGTAAAGCCATTTTCCCAACTTAGATGTTATCCTCAGAATTATTCCTGTGGGACACACTTAGCTGCTACCAGCCAACTAAAATAGGAATCTCTCATTAATTCCTGAAACAAATCTACAACACATCCTGTCAGACCAGTGCAATTGCTACTGGTCTGACCAGAAAAAACATAAGCTTAAAATTCTAACAATATGAGCTGAAAGTACACAGCTTTTTCTAATTAGTAGCATTTGCTGCATCATTTACCAACTCCACATGGTTATACAGTATATATTACATCTACTGGATTGCATAAGTGCTAAAATAACTCCCTTATAAGCCTTTTTACTTTTTTTTTTCCACAACCCAAAATATTAATTCTTAAGGTAATAGTTTTCAATTTTAGCCTTAGTACACAATCACTTTTTAGAACTATGTTTTTTGCCAGTTTTGAGATGTATAAAGACAAAGGTCTTCTTTTATTTAAAAGATCATATTTAATTAAACACTCATAAAAGCTGTGGTGATAGACAGACCCTGACAACACACTATTTATAAGATCTTTACTTCCCCAAAAGCTGTGACACTAGTTGATACTGGAATTGACACAAATTGATCACTGGCCCCAAGTAATGCATTATGATCAAGTCAATGCCTAAATTATTCTCACAATTATCACGTTAATTTACACACTCCATTGTTATTGTTCATAGTATAATAAAACCTAGTGAGTCCAAGACAAACCAGAGTCTTATGCTAGCACTCCAGCTATGTACAGCTAGATTTCAGTCTTGCAGTGGTGCAGATGTCATGGCAAAAGCTCACATTACTTATGGAAAATTCCAAGCTTTGTTGTGCTTGTGCAATAGTAATAAGGTTGGGCTGGGTCTGGCTAGGACGGAGCTAATTGTACTCTAGCAACTCCTATGGTGCAGTGTTTTGGATTTGTGACTAAACCAGCATTGGTAACTGAACTATTAACTGACCAGCTATTGCTGAGCAGTGTTTGCACAGCACCAAGGCCTTCTCTGTTTCCCACCCTGTCCCCTTAGCTAGTAGGTTGCGGTGCACAGTAAGTATAGAGGGGACAAACCTGCTACAGATGACCTGAACTGACCAAAGAGACATTTCATATAGCATCTTGCTCAACAATAAAAACTGAGGGAGAGTGGGATATTGGTCTGACAGGTAGCCACTGCTCAGAGACTGCCTGGACATTGGCCTGCTTCCTTGTATTTTTTTCCCCTTCTTTCCTTTCACTTAACAATCTGAATTTTCTCACGTTTGCTCTTCCTATTCTCTCCCCAGTCTCACTGGGAGCAGAAAGTGAGCAACTATGTGGTGTTTAACTGCTGGCCAGGGTCAACCAATCACAAATATATAGAACAGTATAATATTCAGAACAACTCTACACATAAATTTTGTGTGTAGTTCAATATGAAAGTGTCTTAAGATACAAGTAATGTGTTCTTAGAAACTCACTTGTCTTGTAGATTGGGATGCTGTAGGAATGTGACCCAGAGCATTACACCAAAAAATTAAATGGAAAATCTTTTCTAACACAGGTTAGTTTCCTAAAGAAACAAAAGTATTGTGAAGATGTTGCAACTGTCTGTGGGAAACAAGATCTGAATTTCACAGAACCAAATGCTGAGTTTAAAGAACTTCTCTACTTTTGTTGTAAAGCAATTATTGATGGCCTAGGGTTTGAGCAGATCCTAGTGCTATAAAAGATTGAGAAAACATTACCATCCCAACTCACGATCAACAAGACAAACCAGAATGAATGGACAAAGTCACACAAAGAGTTGATTTCATGCTCTGTTTCAGCAGCTGAAACAAGCATTCAAGTTTCTTCAATGAAAGTACAGTTATTTGGTCCTTACTGTCTCCCTAAAAATGACTTTTAAAATATTTTCAGTAATAAGGTTTAAACTGAGCTCACAGCATGAATGCTGCATGTCAGAGAAAAAGGAAAAAATTCTATAGTAATTTAATTTAATATATATATTGGTATGCTATTTAAGTTACCTCAGCTAGCTCCTTCACTTGAAAATACACCTCCTAGGCATAACGTTTTTTCTACCAGAAACAGGACAAGAGTGTAGACAAGAAATAAAGACAAGACAGACCACTGCAATAGATTTGTCTGGCCAAGGGCTGTAACATGTAGCATTTTGACCCATGGGAATGAGTTACCCTCAGGAGGTTAACTTAATTCTTACAGTCCCT